GTCATGGGTTTTACCATCTGTCTCGAGATTCAAAACTGTTATTTTGTTGATTGTGTTATCCTCACTATCGATTTAAAGTACTCGTTTCCGATGTTCTGTAGAGCCAGTATAATTTTAGCTATGTAACATAGCTGGTGAATACCCTTACTAATATACTGTTTTCCACTTACAGTATAATGCTGAGTAAATTAGAGATACAGTTGATGCCACTTAATGTGATCAAGATTAATGTTATCATTCGAATATTGTAAATGAATTGCCGAAGATGTATACGAAAACGAAGATTATAAAGCAAAGCTCGTTGGATAGGGTTAGCATAAATGATTCATTCATTTTGAAGAGGCTATATTTTCAAAAGTATCACGGGTACACACATGGAAAATATATGAAAAGAACCACAAACTCACCAAGTTTTTTTCACTATTTCACCAAGTTTGTCGGATAAGTAGAATGTTGCTTCATCGCTGAATATCATCTTGGTGGCGAAATCTTCGTTTTCTTAAATGTTGACGCCAAAATCTAGTCGATGGGCGTAACCCTCCGGCTTTAATTGTTGCATGAGCTACATATAGTATGGTTTGAAATGCAACCGTTGACGCAAAATCTTCCACACGGTTTTTTGTTGTATTCCGAACACCTGGTCAATTGACAGGACTGACATCTGGACAAAAATGCTACAAAATATATGGAATGAGCTTGATTATGGTCTGGACATGTGGCTTGTCACCAAAGGGGCACATACTGAATATTTGTAGCGGGTTTATATACTTCGTGAGTTTGTGGTTGTTTTCATATATCTTTCGTGTGTGTACGTAAAATACTTTTGAAAGTATAGCCTCTTCAAAATTAATTAATCATTTATACTAACCCTGTACATTGTATACTTCGCTTATTGGGGTCGACAATTCGGTTAATACGATAAAAATATTATAGCATATTTTTTTTAAACTGATGTAAAGTCGCCATATAAGGGGAAAATAGATTATAGGAATTGGAAAGTGACAGACAGAAATGTTGCCAAGCAAAGGGTCAAATCACCAAACAGCTTCTTCATCTACTATTTAAAATTAAGCAAAGAAAACAAACTTAGTTTGGTGTAGGTTTTGAATAATTCTTTCTCTTTTCAGGGCCCTTTTCTTCAGGAGTGTGCGTGCGCACTAAAGGAAAAATATTTATTAAGTTCGCTTTTTTTTTTTTTTTTTTTTTGCCTAATTTTTAGTTTTAAATTGGCATGTTCTCTTTCAACAATGGATTGCCTCCAAGTATTAAAATTAGGAGTTCAGTATCGATCAAATAATTTCCAGAAACGGTATAAAGAGTAACCCCCTATGTACTAGAGTACTATGGAGTTACCTTTTTGTATGCTTGTGGTTATATTTATTGTTATCGTTAATGTATGAAGCGCCCTCATTCTACAGAATACTTAGGCATTTTATAGAGTGTTTCGTCTTTTTAGGCAAAGTGTGAAATATGAGAATTATATGTTTTCCCTAGTTATAGTATATAATACTTAGGCATTCTATAGAATGGCAGATGCTGTTTAGGAGAAGTATGAAAAAAGGTCAGGATAAAGCTAAAGACGTGCATCCCTCAAAAATACATATATTACTTCGAAAAAATAATGAAGAGAGTGCTGTTAGAAAGCTTTTATTCAAAAACAAAGTTGTACAAAACAGAATTTATGCCTTTCTTATTGAAGGGAACAAAATTTTCACACAGAATGTAAAAAATTAACTTATCAGTTGCAACATTGCTTGAATTTCAACATTGGCATGACTGATATTTTGAATTAGATTTAGTTACTTTCCTCACGCAAAGACATTCATATTTTAGCACTTTGTTTTAGACATGCATTTGGCGAATCCTTGGCTGCTTCCACTGGTTTGGTTTATTTAATTATGGTAAAACACTCGAGGACTATGTTTCTAACTAAGGGGAGGGTATCCTTCGTTGGGAACTTTCTAAGGAAACTTGCACGTATCTATATTACACACTTTCACTGGATTGAACAACTTCAACTGACGGGAACAGAAATTTCGTGGTCAGAACTATCTTCAATTCTTATTCTAATAAGTTCTTAGGGCAAAAGTGAATTGCTATCGCTCACACGCCTGTTTTAAAATTCCTTCAGATGTTCCAAGTCGGTAGAGGTAGAAATCGTCCTCTGTCGTACTAATTATTATTATTATTATTATTATTATTTTCAGTTGCGTGAATATATTGCATCGTCCCTTGTCGATGTCAGGAATAGGAACTCGCGTGCTAGTTCCTTTCAAAGAAGCAGTGGGAATTTATTTTTTTTCGAATTCATTTTCAACTTTTTGGCATTTCTTGCTTTGCCGGTTTCTCATTTGACATTCTATCGAATGACTAGGAAATATGTGAAATGTTAATAGTTTCATACATTACCCGCCAGTTTTCAAGATTCTACAAAATCGTCTATATTTTATAGAATGCAAGCGTTCATACATTGCCTGTAACATTTATATTAAATTAGTTAAATTCCATTGCTATTTTGGAGGACACTTTTTTCTCATTGTTTAATATTATCGTTCGGTTAATATAATCAAAACAGTCGTGGACAAACGTGATCACATTAAGCGGCGCCTATTGCAGTTCAAACTTTGTTAATTAACAGGGTTTCCTTTAGCTAATTTAAATCTTCTTTGGGCACATTTAAAATAATAACCTAGGCTAAGCTATAAATGTAAGTAAAAAATGTATCATACATCATTCCGATTTAATGATATTTTGAACTGAAAGTTTCAGTATTTGAACTAAACCTGAGTTTATGAAAGTGTTAACCCATCGTAAAATGAGAAGACTCTGTACTTGTTACGCATGCGACTTGCAAATAAAATACCATTGTACGTGGCCACACGAAAATTAAAATGGAAGGTGTAGGAAAACGAAAATGTAAGAATGAAACATTCAAATCCCACGAATATTGAAAAAGTTTCGAGACTCGAAATCTCAAAATGCGTGCATTTTTAGCCCAAAGAAGAGGTAGCCCAGAAGGGCTATCAGTCTCGAAACGGCGCTTTGTATCGAATGATTATAAACGTCTGTATCACTTTTCCAATTGTTGCCACCAAATATTATCGCCCTGTATTATATTTAAAGAAATTAAATAACGAATCTGCATGAATGTATGTATGTATATATGTTTCTAGCATTGTAAAAAAACTACGATACTTAGTGTAAAAAAACAACGATACATTTTGAATAACGTAGTCCTCCACCCGAATATGGACACCTGAAAGACCGAATCTTGAATTTCGATTTTGTTTTTTATATATTTCATATTTTTAAACCTTAGCGAATTTTGGATAAAGAAACTCAAAGATTTCAATGAGAGCTGTGACACTACACGGAATAAAATATATTTATCTCCAGCGCGGAGACTATCTATTGGAAATCCTAAAGGTATACTGTTTTTAAATACTTTTAGCCCAAAGGAGCGTTAGTCCAAATGCTCTCGGAATGTGTATGTAAGTGCAAATGAAAAAAAAAAAAAAAAAAAAATTGCCTTTTTATGCGTGCGTAATATACTGAAACTGAATACCGAATACGTAATATACTGAAATCTGAAAACTTTCAGATTAAAAAAATAATTATTTTATTTTGTTATTTTTTTTAATCCAAATCTTTTGAATCTCAGTCTAAAAAATCTGTTAAGAATGTCAATTCAAAACTTCGGTAGATTAGATTAGTTTTAAGGTTTCAAGCGGAACGTTAGTTAGAAAGAGAGTGCAATACCTAAAGTTTTAGTGAACCTGGGTCACCAGTATCACCTCGGTGGAGATCCCAGGGTAATTTTCTTTTCTGTCTTTCTTCCCCCCCTTTTTTTTTTTTTTTTTTTTTTTTGTGTGTTGTGTGTGTGTGTGTGTGTGTGTGGAGGGCTTTAGTGTTTCGTGTTTAATGTTTATCTATATTAATACAAGAAATAATCTTAGCCCTTCTACACTTGCTTTGATTTAAAATGTTTTTTGGAAAATGTAAAATATCTCATCTGTTATTAAAATATTTTTGTCAAATTACGTTGAAAAATGAACATTTGATTCAAGAATTTTATTATGCGTTTATTCACTAAATTTTATTTATGTCTTCTTAATAAATACAAACTTATTTAAAAAAAATTGTTTTCATAAATTTGCTTGCAGCCGAACTCGGATTTGAAATTTTGCTTTAATTTAAAACTGATAATATTAAGTTAAAAATTTCTTCATATTATTGGTACATAAAAGATGAAAGAATCTTTTATGATTCTTTCCTGAGTTTAGGTTATTAGTATTTGCATTCCCTAAAATATAAATAATTTGAGAGTATTTTGTGTAATCTCTTGTCTCGAAGATAAACATTTTTGCCTCAGAGAACAATTTGCAAATTGGACGAAAGCGCGAGTAAAAATGAGTATACACATCTATTTCCTCGAAGTTCAAAAACGGAAACGATTGCCGTTTGGGTTTGTCACTGAATGATGAAATATTTTTGAGCGTTGCGTTCACTGAAATCTAGTTTATTCGAAATCAACAGGAATATTGCATAAGGCAAAATTATGATAAGGTTGCAGCGAGGTATTTTCTTTAGAGAGATGAGATATTTATTCTGTGATAAATGTTCTCAGATCGGCTTTTGTATTCAGTTACTGTTATTTAATGGCGAAAGATGATTTTCGACGAATATTCTACTTTAGTTCTTATGAAAAATATCTTCCTTGTATAATACATGTGCATGTACGATGTGCATCTGCGAATGAATCATGTGTGTGCTTACAGGTTGTGATTTTAAAATAATGTGTGAATGTCTAATTTGGATATATTTCTTTGGGATGCATCAGAATTTTCAAATATGTTAGGCATTTTAGCTTTCAGTTAAAGATACTGCGGATATGAAGAGTTTTTACTTTTCTGTGCAATCGAAAGCTAAATCAGTTCGTTTTAATGAATGATACAAAAGAATCTTTAAAGAATTTAATATATCATCTATTGCAGTTTTAAAATTATAGAATGTGGGTAAGTCTGCTCGGGATACGCCAGAATATCTACATATGTAAGGCATTTCTGAATTTTAATTTTCCTATATTGAGCCTAGAATTCAATAAATTATGCTTTTCTGTGCAAATAAGGAAATCTGAAATAATTATTTTATGTTACATTATATATACATATATAGATATAGATATAAATGAACTAAAATATTTTCTTATACATTTTGAATATTTTGATTATATTTGCATAATTTTGTAAATAAGTGCATACTTTTGCTAATTTATAAATAATATTTTAATTAAATATTTAATTAATATTTTAATTATAATTAATATTTTAATAAAAATTTTCAGTTTTGTGAATTACTTGAAGCTCATTTAAATTAACAGCAATAAGAAGACTTATTTAAGGAGAATATTTTTCACTTTATAAAAATTTGAAGTTTTCGAATTATTCTAATAAAATATATTAGAACACTAGTCTTTCTAGCATATATTTGTTTACAGTTACATGAGCAATAAATATTTATTCAGGACAGGCTTAAGACAGATAAGGCTCTAAGCTAAAAGTTATATGACTTCTCTGCGACAATTTTGGGTGTTTATGAGCAATGCAAATAAATTTATATGGATCTCATAACGATGTGCCTTATTTATTATTGAAAATATGCATGTTATTAAAGTGATTAAAATTGAAATTCTTTTGTGGACTTTTTTTAAAATAAAATTTGGGGACTTTCTCAACGTTTTTTTAAAGTAATAAACTTGTTCTGGACTAATTGAATTTAAAATTGAGCGTTGGAATGGAAAAATGTTTCGCTAAATCTCACTTAAATTACTTATTTTTATGAGAACTTTCGACTGTTTTGTGGTCATCTTAGCGTTTCTAGGGAAAATTCTTCCAGCGCTATTACTAGCATGCAAAATATGATTTTAAATTAAATTTTAAGTTTATATTTTCTTTAGTATATCAGCAGTAACTTCTTTCGTAAGTCGAGTTCATCGGTGTTCTTATAGTTTATTACAGTGTATATTACTAAAAAACTCTAAAATGTATTAATGTTCTGCTAAAATAGTAATGTAAAGAATGCTAAATTATGTATTCTGTTTGCTGTGCTAAAAATATCTTATAAAGGCCTGGAAAAGGAACATTACTGGAAGAAAAATTAAAAGGAACCTTACTAAGTAATTGAGTGTTGGAGGAAAAAAATGAATTTATGATCCAACTTTGCATTTAGCAACTGAAAAATCCGCCATATTATTTCAGATATAAGGATTTTCATTAGCGTTTTATTCATTTATCAATAGGAAGCTATTTGATTAATTTAATGAAACCTGTGCGAATAAACGACTCTACGACCTAAGAATGCTTCGATTATTTTACAATAGATGGCATCACAATCGCTGTATTTTGCAATGTGAAATATCCAATAGGTAAATGAAATCATGAATATTTAACTCTCTTTGTTATGTGGCCCAAAAAATGATTATTTTGTGAGTTGGTAAAATAATATATGGAATCCGTAACATTTCTAATTAGTTATTTTAATGGTAAAATATTACTTAAGCACTATAAAATACAACTGTTAAGTAATAATATATGCATATATAAATGCATAAAATGTGCTTTTTTGCTGTACATAATTGTGTAGAAAAGATATAAAAATATATGTTATTGCTACAACTGTATAGTTTACAACAATTAGGTTTATCGCTGAAAGTAAATATATACGTGTAAGATAAAAAATATGTGACTATAAATTATTCTTTAAATTGGCAATAACCCCTTCGTTCCTCTTTTTAATTTGAGTACTTTCCCTCTCTACTCTAAAAATCGTAATAACCTTTTCTAAAATGCGTCTTTCAAAATTAATCTGGTTATATAAGTATGGCTGCAGTGCGATGAAAGCTGAACCAATCAGATTAAATAAAATTTTAGTATAAGTACCACTGCAACTAATTGCGAATTACTTTCTTCCCGCTCCGCATGTTGCTAGCAAACGTCTCCAGAACGTTCCGCTTTGTTCATTGTTAAAACGTAAACTGGTATGTAGAAATTTTTGTCCTCCTTGAAATTTTTTGTCGTCGTTCTGCTACGTTTAAAATCTGGCTGTATTGTTAAAAGAGGTTAAAATGCATCTATTACATTGAAGAAACACTGTATGATATTTGGAGGATATTGAAATTAACAGAATTTTTCAATAAAATGATAGAAACAATATTTTGAACGATAATTTAATTTATTAATATAACTTTAATAGAATAATATAACTTTAAGCTGTTTATTAAATGATAGATCAGATTTTAATAAATGGTTCTTTAAATAAAAACGCAAACTATGTACGCATTAAGAAATGTAGAATACCATTTCATTTAGGTCTTCACTTAAATTCGCTAATCTAAATGGGAGAGAAAAACCGCAGTGTCAAAATTCAAAATTAGGTAAAAAAGCAACCTTAGTTTAGCGTCGATTTTGGATATAATTCTACTGATTTCCATAGCGAACAGACATAGTTCCCTCTTCTTCAGAAGTAAAAATGTTTTTATTTATATGAATAGAGATTTATTCAGTTGAAGTGGGACCTGTGTTTGAAATCGAAAGTTTTATTCAAAATCTACGGTAAACCAAGTTTGCCTTTTTTCAGAATACTCTGATGTAATTTCAAGAATGTAATTAAAGCAAAGCTTTGAACGTGAAGTGATATTTTTTTTCTGAGAACTGTTCCCGAAACTAATTGAATAAATAGATTCAAAAAAGCATTAAGAGGACAATAAGTTTTCACACAGTTTTTGAAAGATTAATGAAACATTAATTTAAGCGAAATACTTTTCTTACGTGCCATACCCTAGGACTAAATAAAATTGAAAGTTCTTAAAATTAATTAAAAATAATCCTAAATAAGTATTAAATTATGCACTTCTTTTGTGAAAACAAGAAAGTAATGGTAAAAAAAAGTACTGAAGGAAAAATTTTTCAAATCTGTAATCAAAAGTACTGTTGCAGCAGCAGACTATCTGGCTATCTCCATCATGCTTTATAGAATAAGTGAGAGTTTTCATTTGAAGATTAGTACTGGATTCTTGCCATACCATTTACTTCCCATCATTACAAAATGTATTTAATTTATATTCATCCATAAATATAATCGAATTTCGAAAGTCTCGAGTCTTTGTAATAATAGGTCTTAGGGAACCGCAATCGTGCCTTTCGATTCGCCTTACAAAGAAATTACAGTGGATGGACAAAAATATGAAAACACCTTGTGAAATGCATGTCTGAAAAGAAAGATTTATTTTAATGAAATATGTAGGTGGCGCTGGCATTTTTGACTACTGACGCCACCTATACAACTTCGTAATGTGTCTAAACAGTTCAGTTGTTGTCGGAGTACTGTTATGTGAGGTTGTCATTGCATCATGTCAAGTTAACAGACTTCGAACGTGGGCAAATTGTTGGAGCACGTATGGTAAGTGCTTCCGTAAGCAAGGTAGCCGAGGTGTTTAGTGTTTCAAGAGGTACTGTATCGAAGATTTATTCCGCATATTTGAAAAGCGGAAAAACATCATCTGCTAAATCCAGCGCGGACGAAAGTGTGTCCTGAGTGATCGTGACAGACGAACATAAGGGCAATTTTGATGAAAAATAAGAAGACCACAGCTGCAAAAGTTACTGCTGAAATGAATGTTTGTTTACCGAACCCTGTGAGTACCAAAACAATTAGAAGGGAGCTTCATAAACAGGGAATGCTGGCCGTGCTGCAATTGAGAAGCACTCATCAGTGATGCTAATGCCCGTAACAGGAAAAGGTGGTGTTTAAGTCATAAAGCCTGGACTATAGAGCAGTGGAAGCGAGTAATATGGTCTGACGAGTCTTCTTTCACATTGTTTCCCACTTCTGGCCGAGTTTACGTTTGAAGAACGCCATCTCAAGCCTATAATACAGACTGCTTGTTGCCAAGAGTGAAACATGGTGGGGGTTCTGTTATGGTTTGGGCAGCCATATCGTGGTTCTCTGCTAGCCCCATGATAACTGTGTCAGGGCATATGACTGCCAAGACTTATGTGAACATTTTGGCCGATCAAGTTCATCCCATGGTACAAACGTTGTTCCCCGATGGTGGTGGTGTCTTCCAAGACGACAAAGCCCCTGTTCACACAGCTCACATTGTCCAGGACTGGTTTTCTGAGCACGAGGATGAGTTGTCCCATCTCCCCTGGCCACCACAGTCACCAGACCTGAATATTATCGAACCTTTGTGGTCTACATTGGAACGGAAAGTGCGTTCTCGTTATCCACCGCACATCGTTATTGAACTTGCCACCGTTTTGCAGGAAGAATGGTATAATATTCCCTTGGCAAACATCAGGAACTGTATTTATTCATTCCGAGAAGACTGCAAGCTGTTTTGGATGCCAACGGGTTTCCTACACCATAATAAGCAAAGAAACATGTTTTTTTAAAGGTGTTTCCATATTTTTGTCCAACCCCTGTATGTTCTTCTAGATGTTGATTCGTGAAAATTATACTTCCTTAAAATACTCCTCGCAGTTTCTTCATTAGAAGCCTTGCTAAGCACTTTTTCGACTTCTAAAATCAATTTGACTGCACTGGTTTTTAGAATTTCAAATAATATCTCTAACTATCTTCTGTTTTTCTTTCCGTTCAATGAAACGCTCTAGACGCCCTGCTTGTTGTTTATAATCAATCAAACTCATTTTATGGTATTTTGAAATTATATTACGAATTGTACATTTGCTTACATTAAACAGTTCAGCTACTTTTCTGCCAGAGTTTTCGAAACTCCAGTGAATTAATTTTAAGATTACTTTAAGCAAAAGAAATCACAAAATATTTCCTCAAACTTAATGTTTTCTAGGTTTAAAAATCCTTCTTCATGTGTTTTACTTATGTGTTTTACTTCATGTGATTAATAATAAGAATAATCTAAACTTTTTGTTAAAATATTCATTTTAACCTTAATTTCGTGTTTAAAGGCAAGATATTTAAAATATCTAATTTATTT